TCCAACTTGAACCGGAACCATCCGAGGCTACCTCGTCAGTTTCTTAATTCATGGAACGAAATTAAGATTGTCCTCGTTAATTCTCCCTAAGCCACCTCGTTGCCTCGTTTGTCCTCGCTATAATTTGTGCAAATACTAAGTACTGAGAAAACACAGCGTCAAATCACAACACGGACACCAATGCTGACGTGCAGGCCCCTGAATTCGTGGTCCTCATAATATCAGTATTAGGTGTGACTCCACTCCAATTGCGGTTGGAGCTTCATCTTTGGGCGTGTGGAACATCTCGTAGGACGACTGCAGCACCCGATCCGCGATGTAGTGAAGTCTGGTTTGGGACCTGCGGGCGCTGAGACCTGTCGTTGACCGCTGAGGATGCGATGCTCAAAACAACCAGACCGAGACAGTCCGGTAGGAACAAAACTGCAGGTGAATGGAACCGTATGTGAATGTGTTTTGGAACACTTCGCACATCCGGTCCAATGAGGTTCAAAAGAACTGTGGGTAACTCTTCGCCAAGTCTGAACACCCTTCAGATGTGACACTGGACATTGATGGGAGGGTCTGAGTCCCCAAACGAGTCTGAACTTCACCTCTCTGACTTCGTCCCTCAGAAACTGCGGCTTCGACGCCATGTTTGCCATCGTCCTGAGGATCCCGACTGCTTGAAGATGTCCTGGCTCGCCGCACACTTGGCAAAGAAGTCCGTGTAAAGATCGTTGCGAAAGATATCCAACTGCCTGGAAGAGGCGGATGAAAGGTGGCCCGGTTCAGCCCCGGTCCGGGCGGATGGTCGACTGACCGGCGGTGACCAAGACACAAGAGGCGGTTTAGGTCTGTCACACCCCCTCTGGAGAACCTTGATAATCTCTTCCTCCCAAGAACATGGAATTCTATGGAATTCTTAATGAGTAACTTTGCTATATAAGTGCACCCACGTAACTTTCCGCCGAACCCAATGCATCAGTCCCCCGATCCCTCTTGCAGTCAAGCAACTCTTCCTTCAAAGATGCAAACAGCTGAGCATTGTAAGACTTGAAGGCACGGGCCTGGCGCGCGACGAGCAGTCAAGAGGTCTTTTATAAGAGGTTTTGTTGTTCTGGAAAGGCGAGTCTCAGCATCACATGACATGGTAGTTTGCTGGGTAACTTTTGCACATGTTCAACTTGTTAGATGATGTTAGATGCATTATGATGCATTTATATGCATTTATTTGTCCAATCTACAGAAGTTGAGGGACGCTAAAGTAATCTTTCTTCCTCCACCAAACGGCCCTCAAGATTCGTCACCCGGAGCTCCTCACCTTTTGAGTGGACTCGTTCAAGTTGTGGCTGATGGTGGCCCAAAGCCACTCCCAAGCCGTCTCATGGCTCATGCTCCAAGTCTTGGGAAGCCTTGCGAGATAGCGGCCGAAGAAGGCGGGCATGCATGGAAAGCCAACATTGGGACATGCATGCATTCCGTCGGTGTCCTTGCTGTTATGTTAAGCCAGTTCCGGGAGTGAGTGGGTCCAGATCCGAAAAAGGAACATGATGGGCCAATGGTGGGTTTCAAAGTTCATTCTTCTTTTTACGTTCGCAGGCAAGAATGTTTGACTACGGGGATCAACAAACAAAACAAGACGGGCTCTCATGCGTCGTCTCGGTGTGCCTTCGTCGTCGATGCGGAGGCGCTTCGTCGTTCGGCCATCGCATGCATGACTCGCGTTGCGTCCGGGGCAAAGAGCTTTAGCTCGGGGGCGAAGTGTTGCATAAGTTATCCCGTCAAGAGCATAGTTGCCCCGCAATATCCCGCAATCTAACGTAATCTAAGCAACACTGGCAACCCCTTCCAGTCCACTGCTCCCTTGAGCGTTTGGACCCTTCACCAAGGAACAAAGACCGAAGAGCCGCCAACATCACGGGTTTGAATTTCTCAAATTGGATGTCCTGAATGGTGGGCCCGGGGGGCCCGGGGGCTGAAGAAAAACACATGTTGACTTGTTGTTTGCGTATATATATGTATATATATATAGAGAGAGATGGTTCATGATGGTTCTATACGACATATATATATATATTATATAGTTATTTATATATATATATTGCACGTCATTCTAGAATCTCCACATGGGGGAGGTTTTATATGGTTTTATTGACCAGCTGGTTTGCTAGCTCCTCTCACCCTTCACCAGTCGATGTTGGTCAAACAACGAGTCTTCCACGGGTAGAGATTGGCCCCCAAAAGGATTGGCCGTGAAAACATACATTGCTTTTTGAATGGACCAAGGTCGAAGCAATGTACAACGGAACTGGATCCTCCATTCTCGCAAAGTCCCTGTGACTCATGGCTTAAACACCGAATTTCTGTTTGTCACTCAGTCAGAAAGAAGCTGAACCATGCTGCACCCCAACCCCACTAGCAGAATGGAAGATTTGCAAAACCCAGCGGATGTTGATATCCTTCCTGGTTTCTGGTTGAGATATCTCCCTGTGCGGCTGTTTAATTGCACATTTTTTTCTCACGGCAAATGTGTCCACACCGAGTCATCTAGATCGGTGGATGAGAGAGATTCCGCAAAGTCCAAGTTTACAACCGGCTCCGGAGTGGGCTCCTGAATAGAAACAAAGTCTGATATAGGCTTGAAACAAATCTGTTTTGTTGAACATCACGCATCATCGACGTGTCACGAGACCAAGCATGTCAAGCTATAATAGGTGCCAATAAGTCAAGATATGGTGGAACAAACGATCGTTCTTTTCTCTAAAACCGACTGCAGCTCGACCGGGTCAAGCTCCGATACGTGCGGATCTGGTCGGCACTGAGCAGGGCGCTAAGCTCAAGGTGCTAAGCCAAACAGGATTACATTGACTACACATACCATAAGACATGGCAAACATGTTCTTAATTCCAACATCTACATACTAGATGTTGGAATCAAGAACATATACCAGAATGTCAATTGAATTTCATGCAAACGCACGACGTTCAACTGCTCCTGATGGGTCGTTGTAGTGGTTGAGTTTTGTGCTGAGTTTGGACTCTTCGGTCTGGGTGAAGGTGGTAGAATATGGTAGAATGAATGAATGTTGAATGGCCTCTGCAAAAACAAGTATATGTTCATTATATGTGTTCATAGATGTTCATCGGACTGGTACTGCCTTAGCCTTAGTGCAAACGGATTCCATCAGCACCGTTGGCACATGTTTGGCCAGCTGGAACGCCGTTGCCCTCCGCAGAACCGAACAACCTCACCGTCCTTGGCTTTGCTAATCATGCTGATCGCCAGCAGCTCGCATTCCTACAGGGACGGATGCCAATTCGGCTGATGCGTCTCGTGATTCCAAGTCCAAATGAAGTTCATGCTTCTGCTCTGGGGTGGGCAGGTACAAAGATCCGGGACACTGCCCTGCTTAGATGTAGTGATTCATTATAAACAAACAAATAACAAGTCCAAGAAGCAGCTTTCCGCACCCAAAAAAAACACATGCAAGAACCTTTAGATCGATGCACTGCCCCCCCGTGGACGCGCGGGACCTGGAGGAGTAAGGCGAGTAGGGCATAGTAGGGCTACTCACAGCATGGCCACTGGTGGCTCGAACACCATCGAACACCATGGACGGAGTGTGAGAAGGCAGCCCGCAGCCCGTCTGACCAGAGTAGGGGGGATGCACAGTCCACCCAAAACGATCTCCTAAGGCTCGTACCCCTCCTCAAAAGGTAGGGATGGACCCCTCTCACACCCACCTCAACCACCTTTCTCAACGGAGGTAGATAGTTGGAGCCCAAAACGATGGGATCCAACGGTGGCTTCAGCAGCTCTTCCGGTCCCAGGTGGAACGCCAACCGCCACCGGAGCTGCAGTTCCACCGCATGATGCGGAGGAACTGCAGCAGACGTTGACCTGCCAAAGTTGAAGTATGAAGTTGTATGAAGTCTAGGACCCTAGGAGCCCAAGAAGTATAATTATAAGTCACTCCGTGAGAAACTTCACCTCAGCCATGTTCTAACCACTTCAGCAAAAGCACGGTTTTTCTTCATTGTCAATACTCCAAACAGCATGGCCCTTTAGGTCTCATTCCATCCGAGCCATGTCGTTGGTTCAGCGTTGCACCGACCGGTGCTTCGTCGTCGGCCGGTCCATCCCGAGTCGGCCGTTCGGCCTCCATGAGGTGAGAAGGGTTGGCAATCCTTTCGACCAAGACCTGAGGTTGGACCGTAACAAGGGCACCGCTACTAGGAGCAAGGATGCTACTAGGGGCTCCTGGCCTTGCTACTAAGAGCAAGAAGCTACTAGTAGCTCCTGGCATTACTACTAGGAACAAGAAGCTACTAGTAACAATGGCACCGCTACTAGTAACAAGGGCATTACTACTAGGAACAAGAGCATTACTAGTAGTAGCTCCCTATAAACAAGGACACCGCTTTTAGTAGTTAGAAGCTACTAATAACGAGGACCAGATCTGAGATGTTATGACCGTTATGACACTCCATCCATGGGACTGGAATAGCTATTACTAGTTACATTGATTGACCCCTATCGATGATCCCGGCTTGGGGATGCTTGGGGGAGACGCGCCAGGCGCGTTCCTTTTCGGCCGACTTGTCGTTTGCAGCATGACTGCTGGCAGGTGTGTTTGCGTCTTTGCTTTCGCTCTTGTTACGCAGAATGTTGCAAATGTTCTTGTCCTGTGAACTATCTCGCAGTGCATCAATCCGCTTACGTTAGATCAATACATCCTGGGCCGGGGTATATAATGTATATATATAATAAATAACTGGATGATTGAACTTATAAACAACCAGTACCAGAAACCGTGGATTAAGCGTACTAGATATCCCATACCAGAAACAGTGGATGATGATGGTTGGGTTGCAGGCCGATCTAAACTGGTTCTGCTTGTTTACTTGTTTACCAGCTGCTACAACGTCGCTCGCTTCGTGCGTTCGACCCTGCAATCAACGACAGTTCCGGGATCAATTCTAATGCGGGGGGGGATCAAAAACACAACAATTGAATTGGCATTCTGCACATTCCGCTGTTTCTCAGCAAACATGCTAATCATCTCCAATCTTTGATTATTATCAACACGTAATAATGAGTATATCGGCAGTATTCTTTACCCCTTGGCCATTAAAAAAAATGGTTGGAGCCGTAGAACTCTTTGGAGTGTAATCGGGTGAGTTGTCACCATGTTCGGTGGTCACTGGTCCATTTGGGGCGGAGTCACCATGTTCTGGTTCTCGTTAATCTGAAAGTGACAACCGAACATTGTTGTTCGGTTGTCACTTGTTACGAGTAACATGGGATCGCTTTCTCTCAGATTCTTGAGCATATGGATGAATCCCAACATTGGCGAGAGTCGGGCACCGGCACCGCTTGTTTACTGCACTTCCGCCACTGCCGAGCGTCAGTGAAGACCCCTAAGAGCTCTTCCATCCACCCTGCCGAGGACTTCGCGACCGGCGGTGAGTGACCCGAGGAGCGAGCGTTTCCTTCGTGAGGGCATTCGATGTTGGCATGGAACTGGAAGAAGTATATGAGCGGTGTCAAAAACCATCCGGAACTGCTATTAAGATTATAACTTATAACATCTTATAACAACCTTTCGCCAATCCCTTCGCAACGCTTTCGCGGCTGCATGTTTTGCTTTCGCCAACCCACTTGACCCCACAACCTCTTTAGCTAACCCTTTCGCCGAGTTTCTGCTACGTACATCTAAGAAAAGTATCAGCAAAGGGAATCATTCCTAATCTGCAACCACTGCTTTCGCCACATCTTCGCAAACCTTGCGCCAACCTTTCGCCTGGTTATCAGGAATCTTTGGATGACTTGCTTTGTACTGAAAACCTCTTCGCCAACCCTTTCGCAACAAAATCCATTCATCGAAAATTCAGAGCCTTTCTCCAAACCTTTCGCCAAGCTTTCCCCAACTGCAGTTTTCCTTTCGCAAAGACTCATAATCTTAAGTCCTACCAAAATTATTTCATAGAGGTTTATGACGTTGCTCATATATGGGTATGGCCAGAATGGAGGGTTCAGAACACTAAAGTCCTAAAGCCACAGGAAAACTTTGGGGGATCCCTTTCCGATCAATGTAACACTACCAGCGCCCTCCAACAGGAGACCTATTGTCTCCGAGTTTGGGAGGCTGAAATGGAGACGACCCAAAGTGGCAGGTTGTGACCTGGCAGTGATGCTGCTGGTACAAACAGTCCCTAAGGCTCCAAGTACCTTCTCACGAAGGTATTTGGACCCTCCAAACCCTAGTCATTTTGGACCCTCAGAAGGGATTTTGGACACCTTCTCAGAAGGTCCTTGGAGCCCTAAGGAGTGTGTCCTGTTTGGAACCAGAATCCACGTCATCGACCTCGCCTTCGATCTGTTGTCCGATGACTTCGCTGCTGAAGGTGCACATGCCCGCGAAGGAGCGTGTGACCGATTCCTCGCCCTCATGCTCCGCCTCTTGGGCATTTTGGATGACGTCCCAGTCGTCCTGGCGACTGTTTTATTGAAGAACGGGGAATCACTGTGAGACTTGGAGATAGATACCCAGACCATCCATGGGACTGGAAGAAATGGCGCCCCATTGATCCCCCAAAGCACCACCCCAATGTAAGGAAAATTTGATATTTGATAATGATAATATTTAATATATGGCAAACATGGTTGGTCTGGGATAGGAAGATTGGGGTTTTCCTCCCTGAGACTGAACTGCATTTCAGGGCTTACCTGGTTTGTCGTCTTTCTTCGTCAGTCAAACTGCCCAAAAACAAGGCCTCAAAATGTGCAAAAGAGCCAAAATAACTAGTTTTTGCCGGTTTAGCATTTTTTGGCAACTTATGCAGTCACGACGGTTAGTAGATGTTAGTAGAGACCCAAGTCAGGACTCTCCGAAGGTCTAAAAAGTTCTCTTCCATGTCTGAAGTTTGGTTGTGGATGTTTGTTGTGGTTCACAGACCTAAATAAAGGTTTGTTGAACTACCGAGAAAAATAATGCACAGCACAATACAACCACAAGATTGCAGGTATAAGCCCATCACAGCTGGATGATGATAGTCAGAAAAGGCGTTTGCTGAAAGGTGTGATAATTTGTTTTGGACTGCTACTGCTACTGGCAATCGGATTGATATGATTGACATGCCACTTCTGCTGTAAGACGCTGCAAGTATTGGGAGTAATATTGCAGGCTTTAGCACCGAAAACGAAAAGTGGATTTAGGATCAGTCGGCAAGCAGCAAAAAAAACACGTCTCCAAATGGACAGAGAGCGGAACTTCTAGAGAGGGCCTTGATGATCTTCAACCGATCAGTGTAGGTTGCACTGATATACCTGCAGCAAAGAGCAGCACCGGCCGCACAGACCGGTAAAAAATAGGCCATTACAGATTACAAGGCATACGGCATATATATATATAACATTATTATATAACCGTTTTGTTAGGGTTCCATTCCTGTCGTCCTTATGACATAAGGCCAAGGCGATCTCTGTCAGAAATAGCTGGGGAACCCCAATGGGTCACGGGCGCTGCTTCGTGCAATGGGTCGCAGGCCCTTTGACGCCTTTGATCACAACTGCAAAACATCACTCCATCACCTGACCATCCAGAACATTATCTTCGGAAATACCGTCACTCAGGTTCCAGAATTTGGTCCAACATCAGGCACCGCCTGCTGAGATTGTGTTTGGGGTCGTCTTGGAGGGTTTCAAAGGATGTGGTTGGAGCCCTGGGGCGTATAATCATGTCAAAGCTCACACAAACCCATTAAGTCATCCGCCTGCAGCAAGATCCCGTGTAGGTCAGCATCTTTTGCCACGCATTGATTGAGCCTGCATACGGCATACTGAGTGCCAGAAAAAGAACCCCTGACCGTCCGAGACCCATCCTGGGCCTTTTGACCAACCCTCACAAAAAGCTGTTTTTGTTGTTCAAGGACGTATTCGGGTCAATACTGGATCCATTTTGGGATGCATATCCTGTATGCCTATGTATGAGCAAACATTCAAAGAATCGTGTCAAATTCATGTTGCTTGACAAGCCTTTTGAGAGGCTGAAAGTGCAGGGACTTTGTTTTTTCGGTCTTATCATTGCACATCGATGGTCTGAAAAGAGAACGTGCACAGACGGGTCTCGACCCGACGTCGTGGACCGAGCCCGAGCCGTGAGGCGATCCAAGCACTGATGGTCTGAAGTGCGGGAGAAGTGCGGACTATGGACCTCACATTTCAATAAGAACGGGCTCTACTTCATATTTCTAGGTTTTTGGAATCATGTTGAATCCTTCTTTAGGTCTTTGGAACTTGTGAAAGGCTTATCACTGGATATCGCTGGTAGGTCTTTGGCTGTAATGACTTTGGGGGACCAGGTTCAACCAAGTTCTTCAACTACAGAGGGCGTCTACATGCGTGTACAAGAACCAAGACTCCGTGTGTACAACCAATTGGCTTCATCCCCACCCCCATGAGGGGGCGACCTTCTTATTCTAACTTACATTTTCCATGTTGGTACCTGGAAAATGTAAGACATGTTCCAGGCAAGACGTACAACTTGTAATATTGCATGTTCCAGTTGCCAACATGCCTGAAAATGGCCTAAACAAACATGTAATTTACAATTATGGGACGTATGGGCCATATGACGTGTGCATGCACAGATTGCACAGACATGTTACATGTTAATGTTGGCTTATCCCAGGTTCCCAGCTAACGTTTTTCTTTTTAGGTATGCCCTTCTTAAAGTGTATTTTCTTAGCAAATGTTGTTTCTCTATCAATCCAATTTTGGCTTATCTCAGGTTCCCAGCTTGCATTTTCTCTTGAAAGTAGGTAGGTATGTCCTTCTTAAGGTTTATCTTCTTTCTAGCTGTTGTTTCTCTAGATTAGATTCACTGGTGCTCTCCCCAATTTTTGCTTTTCCCAGGCTCCCAGCTTACATGTTCTCTTGAAAGAAAATTTCGTATGCCCGTCTTAAGATATATCCTTAAGATTAATATGGGCATGCCCTTCTCACATCCAAACTTTCTACTAAGTTATATTATACATTTATTTAATCTATATTCAAAGGGGGTACCTTAACCTCAATAAATGCAAGTTACATTGTTTTCCCCCCCTTCGTCCCTTTATTTGTCTGTCTCCTCTCTCAGTGTTTCCCCCAGAGTTGCCCAGGGATCTCCAGTCAGCGAATGTCTTTTGTGGGGGAGGGGGGGCATAATGCAACTTTGAAGCTTTCGAATAGACTCGACAAACGAAGCAACCTTCCATGCCTTTGCTATCCGTTTTGGTAATGTCCAGCAACCCCCCCTGCAAAAGTTATGAAACTGGACCGGGGGGGGTTCGTTACATTTATCACCCCCTAAAAAACAGTAAGTTACAAATAGGTGCAAGAAAAAGGACCCCCTGTTTTCAGTGCCTAAGGGGGTGGTGATTTTGCTTCTTCGTACGTTAATTCCCGGAAAGTTGCTACGGATGGCCCACTAGGCAATGGATGTGGACGTGGACTGGACTTGCGCTGGACTCCAGTTCCCAACGATTCGTTGAAAGTCTAGCACAAGTCCAGTCCACCTCCGCAGGCCATCAGTAGCGATTTCCCGTCGATGCGAATTAGGGCCATCCGTCGGGGCCGTCGAGGACAGGGCCTGGAGGAAGCTGAGGTACGTTCTGCTGCACCAACTCCAAAAAGGCTTCGGTGACGCCATCCACGCGTTGCTGAGTGATCTCGTTGCCCAAATGCCTCGAGATATCACGCGGCGAGCAAAGGAAACACCTGGGAAAGTTGTTCCAGGTGCTTTGGTGCCTTCAAGCTTTATTGGTTTATAAACATGGTATAAACAAGATTATATAAACAATACGAACAATAGGTGGAACATGGTGAAACCATGTGAAGCCCATGTGAAACCCTTGCAATTCATCGTAATTCAAGGGAAGTATTTCAAAATTGACCTATCGGACCTATCATGCATCTACACCCGTAATTGCTTAGCTTCACTCACGACGGAAAACAAAGATGTCTCGCCGAGTCTCGCCGTCTCGAAAACCACCCGCTCGGATCTGTTTCATCCGGGGCTCTTTTCGATTTCTGAAACCGATTCCGCTCTACCCTGAGAAGGTCCACTCTCTCCACCATATTCCACAATTACCTTGCGGTTCCAGAAACAAGTCGAATCTGCGGCCAAACAAGAACAAAGACACAGAACCTTTGCAGGTGACCGTCCTTCACGATGTTCATGGGATTTCGGTCCTTTTCACAGGCCTTTTCACAGGACGCCCCCCTATACCAGGTCACTCGGTCGGTCACTTCGAGCTTCCTTGACCCGCTTGCGCGAAGCGAAAACATCGATCCCACCAGCGACCGAAAGGCCGGGAAGACGCCGAGTGGCTTGAACGCCAAGGTTTCGACCTGGACTTTCAGGTCCTGGCGGATGAGTCCAGGCGTGCTCTCGAGCGCGAGATGGAGCCGAATGAGGTGGTGAGGTGGGCGTGTTTCAATGCGAGTCGCGGCCCGAGGTGGGTGCGAACACAACGATGATTTGGATGTCTCACCGCTGAGTCGAATCTTCTGTTTGGATTTGACACTAAACACGTGTTCCAGGATGTTGGGGTGGAGGTTGGTTTTATTGTCCACTCTTTGAATGCCATCTCGCCAAGCCTTGCTAGCTTTTGCTGGTTGAAAGGGTCGACCGTGTCGGCTTCCAAGCGCCAGCAGACACTCCTTGGGACGTCGACGGGTGGGACGTCCTCACGTCCTCTGTCCTGTGGATTCGATGCTTTGTCGCAGAGCAGCCGGAAGCCGTTGAACAGGTTCAAGGAGATGATCGCTCGGGGACGGCCCTTGAAGGCTTCCTGCGAAAAAAAGCTTTCCATGGAACGAAAAGTGGCGAAAGTGGCGAAAAGGGAGAAGTTTAGAATAGTTAGTTAGGTGATTCATGGCGATTCTACTTGCTTTGGTTTGTTTTGGTGGGTCTGTGCCCCTGGGTGTTCTTGAGCCCTAAAAGTTGGTCGAACAATTAATATCAATTATTATGGTGGCCTTCATACGGGAAAAATAACACAAACATGGATCAGGCAAAACTCCCAAACATCCTTTGCTAAGAATCGCGTGAGACGGTGACCCAAGGTTTACTCTGATCCGGAGCGTCTCGGGGGGAAATCACTACAACTAGGTGAGGAATGAGCAGTGCAATGAACGGAAGAAAGGCTCCTGAGAACAACTAGAATGAACAGTTTAAAGTGCTTCTCAAGACCATCCAAGACCTCTGATGGAGGCACCTTAGATGGTCCAAATCTATCATTCGGGGTTGGCTGACCCCGGGAATACTAGACTCATTGTTGTGTCATGTGTTGCCCCTATAGTCTTTACCGCACCAACTAATTTGTGGATGGTTTGACCTCCCTCCCTTCCTCCCTCCTTCCCAAACACAGACCACCCACAGCAACCTATCCCCAGCAAATAACTCAGTAGCGGATCTCTCCCATTGGGTCCAAATTCGGATTGGCACAGCACAGCTGGGTTCCAGTGGGTCATCCCCTTTTTGGCCCAAACGGCGCACGTCAAACCCTGGCACAGCACGTCCCAAACCGCGCCACGTCGTGTCGATCCCAGCGGCCTTGATACAAATCAAGCGATCGCTCAGCGCCCCAAAGATGGCGTCGCCCACCGTCTCACGCTCGCCGCCCAAGGCAGCCATAAACATATCCCAAGACTTGCTCAACACGACCAGCTCGGTTTGCGACCTCTGTTCCACAAAGAAAACCCGCGAGCTTGACACCGCTGCGCAGAGGATGATGCCAGCTTGACACCCAGAGAATGGATGGAACCTGGAAATGGACCTTTGGAAGACTCTTTTCCTCTACAACCCAGTGGTGTTCAGGATCCATATTAATCTTGCAGGGTGTAGCTGTGCTGTTTTGTGCGGAAAAACCATGAAAAAACAACAATAGAAAAGTGCGGCGATTGCTACTTAAAAAGCGGTGCCTATTCTAAGTCTTAGCAAAGGTAAGCAAGGCATCTCGGCAATTAGTAAAAGCATCTGTTGTTATTGTCCACAGCAACACCAACCCTAAGAGCTTGTGATAAAATACACAGGCAATAGCAAGGTAATGCATCGTAGAGAGCTGGGAATGGCACTATGAAGAAGTAGAACGTTTGCGCCCAAGAAGAGTGACAAGTCAAAAGGCATGGAGGTGGCATGTAAACTCCCTGAACATACATACGGCATAGTCACGCGACCAAATAAAACACATGTTGCCTGAAGAGGGGCACGCCCCAATTGGTGGCAGTTTGGCTCACCCTTTCCAGCAGTTTGCCCTGAGACTTGAAACTGCTTTGTATCTTTGTTTTGTGCGGAGCAACCGGCCACCTCGACCAAGGAAGCATCGAGGAGAGTGATTCCGATCCCAGTGTGACAATGGCGAGTTTCTAAACATTTATCTTGTTGTCTCGCAAGACACAATTGCAAAAACAGCGGAAGTGTCAAATGGCCTGTAACGGGTAGCTCAACAAGAATTCATGGGTGACAAGGATTCTTTTTCTGACAGCCTTCAGCAAGCAAGACCTTTGGATTTGCTGGCCTTGGCTGGACAACAGCAGCTCCCCAGTTGAGCTGACCATATTTGTGGCCCAGAAAGGGCTTCCGAAGTCGGAAACACTTCTTCGCTTCCTGAAACCGTTTTTGAACAAACACCAACACACACACACACACCTAATCCCACAACTCGACACCAGTTCTAATTCTTAGAGTTCCAGAAGCGAACCAAACTCATTCACTCATTCCTATTTGCGCCTCAAGATGTCAAAGACTCCCTTCCTCTATATATATACCTCTATACCGATCCACCATTGCCTGAACCTCCCACCCCCCCCGTCCCACCCGAACGACACACACACGCACAGGCAGAGCGCAGAGCAGCGCTGAACTCACTGGTGGCCAGGGCTCCCGACAGCTCGAGAATCTCTTTCATCACGTCCTCCGCACTCAGCTTGTCTTTCTCCGTCTTCCCTTGTCAAGCGCCGGGGTGAAGGACACGGTGGGTGGTTGGCACGTGGTGAAGGACACTGGCTAGCCAGTGAAGAGTGAATGCCGAATTGGGGAACTCTGCAGTGTGACAAAACGAGAGGGTCCAGGTACCTCACTACATGTCTTCCTACTTACTATATGGTAATTTGATCAAACATGCTATATACCATTACCACGACGACTGCGACTGTTGTGCATGAGTCGCACTGCTAGAGGGAGGGTCGACTCGGGCATGGTAGCTCCAAATCGCGTTGAATACATCTCGCCAAGATTCTCTTTGAACCGACCAAAGCGTACACGTTTGGTCTCGAAAAAGGGCGAGAAGCATCAACCATCATCAACCAAAAGTTGGGCAAATGAAGATCTTGGTCCATGACATGAGGATTGCTTTTGATGTTCTTGTTTCAGGTGAAAGAACTTCCTGAGGATGGGGGGCTAGCCATGAATCCCCAGTGCACGAAGATTCAAGATCCAGTTCAAGGTCCTCTTTGCTTCAGCTCTACCAGCTGTGAGTCTGGATTCTCAGTTTGTTCAATCAAATCACCATCCAATGGCTGGATTCTGTTATCTAAGACACCCACAATGTTCAGGAAGAAATACATGCAGAAATATGCAGAATCTCTTCAATGGGAAAGACATGATTTCCGTGTTGTCTGAAGATGCTTAAAGGACTATAGACACTGGACACATACAACACCACTGATCATCCACCGGAGCGATGATGTGTGGCACCTTCGCCATCTGAAAGGTTGTCAAAGTCAATCCTCAGTTGGCCCAAGCACTGAGCAACTTAAAATATTTAAAATCACATGTCCAATGGAGATTCTTTGTGTATCCCGTATCCCTTTTCGAGGTTCCAACTATCCTCCGGACGGTTTAGAGTTGGTCCGGAAGGTTCTTTCAGAATTTCGCACACACGACGTGCACCGCCCCAAACTGTGGATGTTACGACTCTTTGAGTGACAGTTGCTGGGATTTGTAAATCGCAATACCAAATGGGTGTGCATTGGAATAAGAAAGATTTGCAAGACTTGCAAGTTATATACAACTAGAATCCATCAACAAAGTAATCAAACCCAGTGATTGACATGAGCTCAAGGCCTACCACCTGCTTTTAAAGGCCATTATACTAGGGTGAAATGACAAAGGAAATGTGGAAAAAAGCTCGGATGTTTTGCGGCTAAGTCATGAGGATTTGCCTTAGGGTCACGGAGTCATATGTCATGAAGCTGAAGCTGGAAAAAAACTCAAAATCAGAGATGTCAGACGTTGTCACCAACAATCTGTCAGAGGTTGTCGCCAAACTGGCCTATGTGCCATGAACGTTTGCCACTGAAATGGCGAATTTTTCACACCTCTACATGACTTAGGACTTGTTCTGGAAAAGTTGTCATATCGGGCCACTTTGGCCAGGGAGATCCCAAATTACATACTGACCCACCCAAGGGTTGGGAGGTCTCCCTACTACACAACCATATGGCTATGGACAGCACAGCACCCAAACACTCCATGTATGGAATACTTACATATATATATATATATAACTATATCTATACATTGACCCCGGAAACCACATGTAGGTACAAACATGGCAGTCCCATGAGTGTGTATTCCAAAAATCCTGCACACCAACTACATACCAAACCCGTGCGCAAATGACAATTCATTCACATTCACGGCTGAGCATCAGATCCGTCTCCGTCTCTTCGCGGCTCTCGCCTCCCTCGCTGACGGGTTGAAACTCCGTCACACCTTCCTGCGGTCGTGGCGTAGTTGCGGTGAAAGCGAGGGCAGGTTGTGCGGGCTTTCACCAGAGATCAGTGGATGGGTGGAGCCCCAAACTAACCATCCCAAAGCTGTAATACAGGCTTTCTCGTAACTGGTAATGGTACTAATCAGACTACTACTAGTACTGGCCAGTACTGGTACTGGACTGGTACTATAGTACAGGAACTAGTCAGAGAACCAGCCGAGGTGGTTCGAAGACTGGTTCCTGTACTAGTCTGGTACAAACACTATAACTAACCAATACTAATACTTATAACTAAACCCTGAACCCTAAACCCAATTCTTGTACATACGTACTTATACATCACTGTCATGATTCTGTGTTTGCATATGTTTGCTCTGTGCAAGTCCACCCAGAATCATGGAGAGATCTGTGAAAACTGGTCAATGGCTATTCGTCATGGCGGGAGACCTTGACCAATCGAATGGACCTGGGACCTGGTAATGGACCTGGGTGTTTGCAAGCTCCAGGTTTTGACCCATCGCCACAGTGTGCCACCTCTGCGGTTGCTAATGGAGCCTTTCTCTAAGGTCACGGTGGTCGCTGGGTCTGGTACTCAAGAGGGCCCCCCTTGAGTTGGGGTAATCGTCAAGTCAAATGCCCTTTGAGTTAGGGGAACGTTGGATATAGATGCGTAGCTTGTCAGGTGCGGAAGCAAGTTTTACCATGATCAGGCGAAGGGCGAACACAAAGGACTTGGTGGATGTCAGGAGATCGCACTTGTATCTGCCCCTTGTCAGGTCGATAGAAATACTGCTGGTCCACTGAGTAGTGGAGATGTTTATACAAGAGACTCTACAAATCAAATCAGTGTACAACAAAAAAAACTACTGCGTGGCCTAGAAAGGTCGACACCTCATGTAGGTTGACTAGGATAAACATGATTACAGCTGACAAAGGGATTTCAGGGTCGAAGCATGAGGCATGAGGTTGCCGTATTCCCTACAATATTTGCATACACCCCATCATTGTAGCATAGAGATGCTTCATACTCAAGGATCTCCATCTGGGCTGTGTTTTGATTCACCCCTCTTCTCAGAAAACGCTCCGGACTTCACACGGTCCTCCGAGACTTCCTGCATTTGGTTGGTCTCGTCCGCCATGGTGCCCACGATCGATGCGGTGTCGGATGGCACGGGACTCTGACAGGATCACACAGGCCAGGCAGGCCCCCTTTAAAATGGGCGGTCTTGAGCCAACAAAAAAATGTATTAAATGTTAATAGATAGATTAGATTCGATATAAATTCCATAGTTGAAGGGATTGAAACTGTAAACTGCAGCAACAAACCCGGATGGGTACGCAAAGATCCAGGATGGCAAATAACAGCCATGTTACACGACTGTTTCTTTTCATCCATATCTAACATTGAGAAAACACTTGTGAATTTAAAAGAACATAACACCAGCAAGAACCGCTGTGTAGACATGCGGCCCACAGTTGTTATTCGACAGTTGTTATTCGAGGGGGCCACAAGCTGCGGGCACTTCCTGAGTTTCCCCTCCTGGTGTTGGTGTTTTGGTTTAATCCCTGACCACCCTCCTTTTAACCATCCCGATCTCAGCATGTTGCGTCTCTATCGACGTGACCGGTAGGGCAACTTCATCTTTTGCTCGACACATGCTTCAACGCCGGTCCCCTCCGTGACAGAGGGCCCTTCCTCGCGATGTACGGTGAACGTGGCGGTCGATCACTGCCACAAAATGAAACTAGAATGGAGCCTTCTGTTTGGTATATATATATATATCAATATCTCAAAGAAAAATCTCCCCTGCCAATCTGGGTTTGAAAGCTTAATGACCAATGATGGTGTTCACCTCACTGCAAAATGAGAAGAGCAATATGAGAAGTCACCTGGGGGATCTATTACCATCGCCCGACCATCCCT